CGTCGATCAGGTCCAAACGGAAACACATCCTAGTAGTAGTTGATGCCTTTACAAAATTCGTCAAACTTTACCCAACCAACTCTACCAGTACTCGGGAGGTCATCGCTGCTCTCGAGAAATATTTCAGCTACTATAGCCGACCAAGACGGATCGTGAGTGATAGAGGGACTTGTTTCACCTCTATGGAGTTCAGTGCATTTTTGATGAGGCAAAACGTAAGCCACGTAAAAGTAGCCGTTGCCTCTCCGCAAGCCAACGGACAGGTGGAGAGAGTGAATAGGATATTGAAATCTATGTTAGGGAAGCTGACCGATGAAATAAATCATGACGACTGGGTCAAGAGGCTACTTGAAGTGGAGTATGCCATAAATAACTCAACCCATAGCACTTGCCGAGATACGCCTAGCCGCCTTTTGTTCGGTGTCGAGCAGAGGGGAGTTGTTGTGGACGAGTTCACTGAATTTTTTCAGGATAAAATATGCCCTGACGAAGGACGGGACTTGGAGAAAATACGTAGAGACGCATCCAACTCCATCATAGCTAAGCAGGAGTACGATACTAAGCGATCCCACAAGGGACAAACCGAGACCAAGACGTACAGTGTAGGTGACTACGTCGTCGTAAGGAATGTCGATACAACCGTCGGAAGTAACAAGAAACTCATACCGCAGTATAAGGGCCCCTACGTGATTCACAAAACATTGGGAAATGATAGATATGTCATTAGAGACATAAATAATTGCCAGCTGACCCAACTCCCGTATGACGGGGTGATTGAAGCCCACCGAATAAGGAGATGGCGCCAGCCGCCCGAAGAGTGTACCGACGAACCAGAGCGCGATCCTCTGCAGATCGATTAGTTGCTTTAGGACCTATCTATGATCGAGGTCGATCCCTTATCAGGATTGGCCGAGTTGTAAAGTTGCAAATTGTAAACATAGCATAAGTATATAATATTAGTAAGCGTAGTGTAAACATAGTGTAATCCTGTAATATTAGGAAATATGATACATGCAACTCTGTGGAATAAAGGATGATGGCCGGCAGGGTTTTCACTTCCGGTTGACCATACAAAAGCGAACGTGGTGTTTTATTAGCAATCAAGATTAAAGTCACTGTAATCTTCTTTTTACATCGGGAAAAATCGATCTTTATAATTGCAATATTTAATTTATGCTATCAATTAAATTAAATTAAAATTTTCAAATAGGTGGAAACCTTCCCCAAAGATATTTGCAGCTGTAAGCCTTTGTAAATTTCTTTCATTTGACAGCCATATTGCAGAATTCACTTTACCGTATCAATTGACCTAAACNAATATTTGCAGCTGTAAGCCTTTGTAAATTTCTTTCATTTGACAGCCATATTGCAGAATTCACTTTACCGTATCAATCGACCTAAACTGCAATTTTAAACACAGGTGGCAACTCTCTAATTTTTTCTTCTATATTGGAAGCTACATCTCTAGCGATACATCTGTGAAAACTGCATTCAATTCCATGTTATCGACTGATGCGCGTACAAATATACAGACAGACAGAGATTCAAAAATTCTAAAATCTGTAGCTTTAATAAAAACCCACCATATTAATTTTTCTTTAATATCTATAAGGTACAGACATCGATCTGTTACAATTTTATTATATGTATAGATGTAGATATAGATTTCATTTATTTTATCAATTTAATACAATAAAATTTTTCAAACAGGTGGCAGCCCTCCCTAAAAATATTTTCGACAATAAAATTTACTAAACCCCTTCAGTTTGATACCTATATTGTAATATTCAATTTATCTTATAAATTAAATTAAATGTAAATTTTCAAACAGGTGGCAGCCCTCCCTAAAAATATTTTCGACAATAAAATTTACTAAACCCCTTCAGTTTGATACCTATATTGTAATATTCAATTTATCTTATAAATTAAATTAAATGTAAATTTTCAAACAGGTGGCAACTCTAAAAAAAATAAATTTGGCTGTAAGCGTTCTCTAGCCTCTTTCTTTTGATGCCCATATTGCAATATTCTCTTTTTCTTATCAATTTACTTAAACTCCAATTTTCAAACAGGTGGCAACTCTCCAATTTTTTTCTTCCTATATTTTAAGTTAGACCTCTAGCCATACATCGGTGAAAACTGCATTCAAATCCATGTATTCGTTTTCGAGTGATGCGCGAACAAACATACAGACAGACAGACAGACAGACAAAAATTCTAAAAATGGTTGATTTGGCTTCTGGTGCTCTAATAAAGACCCCCCACATTAATTTTTCTATAATATCTATAATGGACAGACATCGACCTGTTACAATTTTATTATATGTATAGATAACAAACACAATGTAAATCCGCTTTCTAAACTTGGTGCAAAAATTATAAAAAAAACTGGAAAAATCAACGCGATTTTTTAATGCGCTATTAAACTAAAAAACTCTGACAAATCTCAATAAAAAAATGAAAAGATAAAAATAGCCAAAATTGATCAAAACGTTGCTGGCTTAATTAACTGATCGCAAGTGTACATTATACTTTCACTATATCATATGTATGTATGTAAAGACCCTGCAAACCAAAGTTCCCGAAATCTTAACGAAATCTTTAGGAGTATCTGATTTCTGTAACGATTTTTTTCCGAATCTTCAAAGAAAATTATATGAAGTGGTTGACACGAGCTCGTCAAGAAATTTCTGTACGAAAAATAGAGAAAATTTTGAAAAAATTCTGCAAGAAATTCTTCACATAGCATCATTATTTTCATTTTTTTACCGATTTTTTCCGAAATTTCATAAAAGAATCGAAATGTGCACAGTTTATTTCATTTTAAAAAATTCGGCAAAAAATCGGATATCTTTACGAATTTTTTAAAATTTCTCTNGAGGTAATACTTTTTTCGGAGTTGGTCTTTTTGACAGCTGTTACTTGATTTATACTCAGTTTGGTTTGCCATTTCATAATGAACAGACTTACTCCGGAACAACGTTTGCAAATCGTGCAAACTAATACCAAAATAATGGTTCGGTTCGAGTGACGCATCGCGCGCTGCGTCCAATATTCGGTCGACATAATCGCCCAGCAGAGTCGTTAATTCGAGCAACAATGGATCGGTTTCGCACCACGTTTACTCTAGTGGATAATGCGCATCCTCAGAGATGTCGTACAGTGCGCACCGAAGACGCTATTGTTGCTGTGGAGCAGAGTATCGCAGAAGACCCAAATGTCAATGGGGAACGCTATAGAGCCAAGATTAATGACTTTTTTCCTGCTTGAATTGGAGGATGTTGATGTGGACGACCTTTGGTTCCAACAAGACGGCGCTACATGCCATACAGCTAACGAAACCATCAATTTATTGAAGGAAACTTTTGGTAAGCGCATTATCTTGCGCTGTCGCTTGTCTACACAGATAAGCCCGAGACGATCGACGCCTTGGAAGAGAATATTCGGCGCGTTGTTGCTGACATACGACCCCCAAATGCTTCAAAAAGTGGTCGAAAATTGGGCCACTCGGCTGGAATTTATTCTAGCCAGCCGCGGCGGTCACTTGCCCTAAATCAGTTTTAAAACATAACGGCAAACTTTTATCTTTATAATAAAGCTAAATTCTTGGCCATAACATTAAACTATATGCGTTTTTTGCTTCATGAAAACCACATATCTAAAAAAAAACCCCTTTATGTTAATCACCACTTAGCCTTTGCAATGACACATTTGAGAATAAACCTTAGGCTTGGTTTGAAATTACAGACGGATTAGCCGTTCGTGTCCGGACACTTTTTGTTTGTATTTTTTTAATGGTATTTTCCCACTCTGTCTCACTGAGAGCGCAAGAAAAATGTGGTGAACTCTCTTTGTTCCAATCAAATTGATTTTGATTTTCTGTTCGAACGGCTTTCTCTTTTTTATGGGTTTCGTAGCGAATTGCATTTATTATTCGCTCATATGGTACATCTATACCTTCATTGGATTTTTTTTGTACATACTTTTGTAACATCAAATACTAGTAATATTAAAATATATGTACATACATATGTACATTCTTAAGTGCTTATAGAAAAATAGAATACAATGCTTAGTGGTACAGCTGTACCAAAAATGTTCGTAGAAAGAGTGGGGAAAGGTTAATTTCTGAGCATTCGCTCTTAAAGAGAAAACGATCCAAAAAAGTAAGTGAACGCAAAACCAGTAAACATTTCCTAGTTTCATGAACAGCTGTTTAATTTGTTGTTCAATCGCAGCAATTTTCTAATAAAAACAGTATTTAAAATCTTATTATATATTCAAATAGGGTTATTTTGTCAATTTCAACTATACAAAGCCGAAGGAATTGTTTCTTTATTAGCGTGAATTGCACCCAGCAACATGCGATCAGCTGTTTTTTTTCATCGGAAATTTTTGCAATGGTAATTGTTCGCAACTTCCCCTCCAAGTGAACTGTCATTTTGCTCTCTAAATTTCCCCTACTTTGCAAGTTTTTTGGAAACATGAACACCAAAACGTGATAATTTGTGACAATTGCTCCAAATTATTTGCTACGTGAATACGCATATTGGTTTCACTTTGGATACAATAAAATAACAATTTTATTCACTTGAGTATCAATTTAAAATTAAATGAAACAAAACGAAATAAAGTCATACATAAAGTATAAACAGAATCAAATCGCTCAGAGAAATTCGTTGGAAGACAGTTCGCTGCCAAAATTAAAACACACTGCAGTATATGAGATTGCCCACAACCAAAGTGGCGACGAAGTTCGTCTGTCGAAATTCGGCAAGAATAAATTTATTTTTAATTTTGCCGCTGCCGCCGGTCACAAAATCAGCTCTCAGTGGAAAAGTAGCTTTGTTTCCCCATTTTTCTAGCAGATGGTTATCAGCAAGAGTCAGAATGGCAAAATTTGGTGATTCATCTTTTCGCATTTCTATTTTAATATTTTTTGCTTGCCATTCAATTGATGTGATTTTCCTTTTTGTTCTGTTTTACTGGGCGANGTTATCAGCAAGAGTCAGAATGGCAAAATTTGGTGATTCATCTTTTCGCATTTCTATTTTAATATTTTTTGTTTGCCATTCAATTGATGTGATTTTCCTTTTTGTTCTGTTTTACTGGGCGAAATGTTGCAGCGAATATCACCCGGCGGCATCGCTCCGACCGACGAAATTCGCACAGCGATTTGGTTCTGTGTATACGTATAAATATGTTTATGTACAAAATAAAATAACAATAAAAAATAAGAAATTTAATTTTTGGAAAAAGCTCATCCCCAGGAGTGAACCTGGCTCCGTTGAGTGGTACGAGTAGTACACAGTTATGACCACTGGGCTACCGCTCACACGACATTCACTGGCTTTGTTTCCTTTGTTTAGTTTACATTCACAATGGAATTTATCTGGCCGTTTTGGTCTGTGCTGTCAACGAAAATTCCACTGATCCGCATTCATTTTGAGAATTATCTCTGGACTTAATCCGGGTAAAGTGCAGTTAATTCCGAGTTAACGAGTTGATCCGGATCAACGCTGATGTCTGTATGTGTATGCTTTTATTAATCATTTCTCTTGAATTTTTAATTAGGGTTGAAGGGTGCAGACTTCTTTAAGCCTGCGTGGTCACAAGGCTGGATTAAAGTTCGCGACCAAGGCGAGTTTATAAAAGGTGGTAGCAAGAATACAAAAACAACAATTCCATGTATCTTGTTTTTGATTTTGCGGGTTAGCTGTCAAAGTTAACTCGATTTTGACGGGTGTACTGTCAAATCAGTAAAAGCAAGAACAAGGCGAAGAAATAAGCTGGTCTAACAACATCCCCTTTTTATGCACTGGCCTTGGTTCACGACTATAATATTTTAATAACAAAATTGGGTACAGCAAAACTAATGAATTTTAAATATTTAGTGTTAAATGAAGCCTTTTTTCCTAAGTATCTAATGAACAGATTCAATGGTTTTCAAAAAAGCTGCAGTTGGAAATACTTTTTACTAAAAGCTATCCTACTGATTCAACATTTAAAAAGGCAGCAGCACATTTACTCCAAAAAAAAAAATGTTGCTACCTAATAAGTAAAAACAAAAATATAAATAGTTCAAGCAATTCTTAGCCATTTATAATTCGAAATAAATGGATCGCAATTCTTTAAATTTTGATGCTAGCGAAGAACTTGGTTCAGAAAAGTTAAAATAAACGTATTCGAGCTGATTTACACTTGCAACAAAATGACTTGCATATTACGATAGTAACATTAAAAGTATCAAAGTTTTGTACCATCAAGTATTTGGTCTTCTTTAAATCTCGCGTAAATTTTTAAGCTAGGATTGACCTTATAGAAAAAATATGTTTGCATAGCTTCCGGTGNGAAGTTTTGTACCATCAAGTATTTGGTCTTCTTTAAATCTCGCGTAAATTTATAAGCTAGGATTGACCTTATAGAAAAAATATGTTTGCATAGCTTCCGGTGGACATTGCTCCCAATTATGACAGTACTATTTACAACTACAACAATTTGGATTTCTCTCATTCTCAAATTCAATGACGCCAATACGGCGACGGTATGGTTTATGTCCCGGCAGTTCCAAGGGTCTTTTAGATGGCATTCGCGGTAGACGCATATTTAGTATGTTTACGGTATATTTTCTATTTTGTTTTCCATTTGGATACCCATTTTCGTATAATGGCCGGGAGGATGCGAACGTTGTTTTACTTTGAATGCATATTAATTTCTTTTCTATTTCACTGTTGTGTTCAAGCTTTATATGTTGAAGCAGTTTTCCTTCGGTGAGAAATTCGCACTTGCAGTTGTCGCAAGCATGGCTTACCTGCTTGGTGTGTGCTATTAGATGCAAATCCAACTGATGTTGAAACATGAATTGTTCGTTACACTTATAGCAAATAAATCGACCTCCATTTTGACGATCCAGATGGTAGTCCAAGAAAACTCTAAATGAAGTCGGGATAAATTAAATTAAAAATCATATCAATTTATTGGAATGATTTATATATACAGCTAGGGTCAAAGATTTACCATAAAAATGCATAATGATATTGTTTGCAATTTATGTGTATTTATTTATTTTTAACGATTTTCATTTAAAATTGAATTGAAGCTTAAACTATGTGCACATTACAACACTTCACATAACTCAAGTGCGTTCAGACTTCCTTTCATGATTTCTATATACATTTGATTAGCATGTGTACGTATGTACGAGTGAGTGGTTTGAACTTGATTTCAAAATAAATGGTCGCATATCTTTAGGTATTGTTTGTTTCCTAAACAGTGGCAGCTAAAATAAATGACAATTCGGGGTTTTCTTCATTTGGTTATTGATTTATGATAAATTATATCATTTATATT